CGAGCCAGAAGCTCAGAGGCGCGCTGCCCTCCCAGCTTCCATGCACCAACACCGGCTGTGCTTGGGCAGAGCCTGACCCACCTGCACAAACCGGCCATTTCCAAAAGCATCCTCCAAAAACCGATGTGCCAAGCACCGGGCACTCCCCTCGCCCCTTCGGCACGGGCAGAAAGCCGCTCTGCGCCCCGCGCTGCCCTGCGCCCGCAGCACCGCTCACCTGTTCCTGTGAGTTCATTACCCGCAGCTTCATCTGCTTCAGGTAAGTGGAGGTGAGGGGCATGTTGTAGTCAATGATCCCAGAAACCAAGGAGGAAGGCGGTTCGCTCTCTGAAAAACAGAGGAAAAACTTGGTTTAGCTACAGGCACATGGAAGCACAGACCTATGACGTGGTCTCGTAGTTGTTAAACATATGTATTTAGAAGCACTTCAAATCCCTGGCAAGAGCTGGTGCCCGCTGAGCTAAGGTTCCTATAAGAACACGACCCCACCAAGAACATAATTACAGAGCAGATGTTGTTTTGCAAAAAAAAAGGAAAAAAAAAAAAGCATTGCTGTCACCTGCGGAAAAGACTGCACATCATATATAATATTTCAAGGTACCAAAGGAGAATGTAGCAGAGGAAGAAGCCGAGTCTTGCCGATGCCTCAGAAGCATTTCCATGCAAATGGGATTTATGCAGGGGTTGATGAACAAGAATATATTCGCAGCTCGCTTTAGCATTGCAAAGTCTTGCCAATTTTGCTGGGATTCCCTCAGGTAGGAGTTAACATTAAGGCAACTTATTAAGTATCTCTATCTGGTGATGAAGATTATTTTTAACACCCTCATTAAAACACAAACTTAATTTTAAAAATCTTTAATTTAAATTCTTCCTGTTGATTCCTCTGGCTGCATCCTATTGAGCATTAGAGATCACTCCAGATTCAGACCGCTCCTGCAGATCATTTTGCCTAGCCAGACCAGAAAAGTCCCCTTAAAGCAAATTCTCAATGATTTTCATGGATTCTCAAACATTTGTCAGCTCTGCCATCACCTGGAAAGTGAGCTTAAGCAACAATGGATGGGGACGAAGGATCTCCAGGAGCTGAAGGTGCACTGATGGTGGGAGGTTTCCGTTCCTGCCTCTGAATCTCGCTGGCTGGCTTGCATTTTCTGGGGTCACTGGTTTCCCAGGCACCTCTGACAGAGCCCCTTGAAAAAAGAGCCTTCACAAAATGCTTTACAGCACCTTAGAAAACCCATCAACCCAAACGGAATGGGCCTGCTTTCCAGAAATGCTGAATATCAAAAAACCCCAGTGAGACTCAGCAGACCTGAAGATGCTTCCCACCTCTGGCAATATCAGATCTATGATGTCTGATTAAGAAACGACCTGACCCAAAACCTGCCTGTAACCCACTTAAACATCACGCAGGTTTTACAAATCTTCTGTATCAAGAGCCTACTTAGGGTCCATGGAAATACAAGGATTTTTTTTCCAGGGCCATCTA